TGAAAGACTCTCTCCTTAGGTCAGAGAGGAAAAAGAATGCCACTTCCTTAGGGAATGCAAAGTTTCTCTTAGCAATTAGGAGCAGAGGAAATCTCTCTCGTGGGTCTTCCTGCAGAGATGACCAAATAAAGTGGAAACGGTGTCCTCAGTACTGTTTGTGTAATAAAGGGGGCGGGGTTGCTTGGATGGCTCTTGTAGCATTCTCAGGAATAGCCCAGAGAACTGGGCTAAGAGAGTTCAATGAAGGTTCTTGGTTTTGGGAGAGAAGTGAAGGAGGTAATAGGGACCAGTATCTTCTCTGAGAGTCTAGCTTGATCCAAAAGCTGGAACCATCTATACCCTGGGGCCTGTGTTGGTGGGACTGCATTTTTACCCTTTAAAAATGCCCCCTAAGAGAAAGAAGGGCTGTTAATGCACAGGGAGACAGCTCAGGGGGCAGGTGTGCATGGAGGGATGGACACAGGGAAGAGGGAACTATTAGGAGGAAGAGGGAGGGGAGCTGTTACATTGTGGTGAATTGTAGTCAGTGTCATGAGACAAAAGTATATGTGAGTTGCTGTATGGAAAGTGAATTTGCTCTGTAAACTTTCACCCAAATCACACACAAAAAAAAATCCCCCTAAACATCCCGTCTCTGATCTGAACCATGGACACACAAGTCAAGGACACTCTTTGGCAAGTCCTGGCAATTCTGCCTCCAAAGTATATCTTGAATCTGTTGACCTCTCTCCACTCCCATGGCCGTCATCCTGTTCCAAGCCACTATCATTTCTTGCGGGAGCTCTGGTAGTGTAGTGCCTAAAGCACTTGACTGCTGACCAGAAGGCTGGCAGTTCAAACCCACCAGCCACTCCTTGGAAGGAAGATGGGGCAATCTACTTCCGTAGTGACACTGCCTTGGAAACCCAAGGAGGGGTCACTGTGAGTCGGGTCTGACTCGACAGCACATAACAACAACATCATCTCTTGCGTGGAGAGCCGCCTCTGTCCTGGTCCAGTTTATTGTCTACACAGTGACTAGTGTGATAGGCTTATAACGTAAATAGGATGGGGTCCCTCCCCTCCTCAGAACCCTGCAGCATTGACCTTTCAGGACGGGGTGGAAGTGCCCGTGGCATTTCCTAGACTGTGAATCTTTATGGAGACAGACTGCCACACCTGCCTCCATGGAGCAGCTGGTGGATTCAAACTGCTGACCTGGTTAGCAGCCAGGTGCATTAACTGTCTGTGCCCCTCAGGGACTTTCCATACATGCACCTCGCACCATCTACATATGCAATCGGGCATACTCTCAAAGTTACAGAAATGGGAGTCTAAGACAAAGAACGTTTTTGGAACCATTTGAGAGAAAGTAGTTGACCTCGCTGCCAGGCAGGGATGTTCTGCGGAGCCACGATAAAAGTCAGTTGCTGTTAAGTCAGTTCCCACTTGGCCACGTGTGTCTCAGAGTAGAGAGTACTCCATCAAGTCAGCCACAACCATCAGAATCAGAACGTGAATATAGATACGTGACTGCCTATGTTATCCAGTGTGGCTGGAACACGTACACTGCAAGGGGGTGCTCTTAACAAACAGAAATTTGCTTTTATGCAGTCGAGAAGGCTGTTGTTGTTAGGTGCCGCCAAGTCGGCTCCAACTCATAGCGACCCCGTGTACAGCAGAATGAAACACTGCCCAGTCCTGCCACAGCCTCACAGTCCTTGCTATACCTGAGCCCATCATTGTAGCCACTGTGTCAATGCGTCTCGTTGAGGGCTTTCCCCTTTTTCACTGACCCTTCACTTTACCAAGCATGACATCCTTCTCCAGGGAATGGTTCCTTCTGACAACGTGACCAAAGCAGGTGAGACGAAGTCTGGCCACCTCGCTTCTAAAGAGCATTCTGGCTGCACTTCGTCCAGGACAGATCTGCTACTTTTTATGGCAGTCCATGGTACTTTAAGTGTTCTTTGCCAAACCACGACTCAAAAGCATCAACTCTTCTTCAGTCTTCCTTATTCATTGTCCAGCTTTCACATGCATATGAGGCAACTGAAAATACCATGGCCTGAGTAGATGCACCTTAGTCTTGAAAGAGACATCTTTGCTCTTCAGGACTTGAAAGAGGTCTTTTGTAGCAGATTTGCCCAGTGCAATACATCATCTGATTTTTTGACTGCTACTTCCGTTGGTGTTGATTGTGGATCCAAGTAATATGAAATTTTTGACAACCTCCATCTTTTTTTCCATTTATCAAACAATATCATTAATATCGGTCCATTTGTGAGGATTTTAAATTTCTTTATGTTAAAATGTAATCCATACTGCAAACTGTAGTCTTCAGTCTTCATCAGTAAGTGCTTCACTTTGAGCAAGCAAGGTTGTGTCGTCTGCGTATCACAGGTTGTTAATGAGCCTTCCTCCAATCCTGATGCCACGTTCTTCTTCATATAGTCCATCTTCTCGGATTATTTGCCCAGCATGAAGATTGTATAAGTATGGGGAAAGGATACAATCCTGACACACTCCCTTCCTGA